TCGCTTGCCAGGTAGGCGCTTATGCAGCTGAGCTAAATACCTAGCCCCAATTCAAACTGTTCTTGAGTTCACTTTGTAGTCCAGACTGATCTCAAATGTGCAACTATCCTCCTGGCCTCAGCCTCAGGAGTGCTGGGGTTGCAGGCGTACACCACCGTGCCTGGCACCGCTGGAATTTCTGTCTTCCTAGAAATTAAACAATCTCATCTCCGATTTAGAAGGCTCTTATGGGGAAAAGGCTGATTTTTTTTTTTTTTTTGGTCTTTTTTCATTTTTATCGGTATCAGGGATCGAAGTCACGACTGCCTGCTTGCAAGGCAGGCGCTTATGCCGCTGAGCTAAATCCCCAGCCTCCTAGGCTGCTGAATTTTTTAACTGACCACAGATCAAGGCGGGAAGCCAGACCTCTTGTCTTGGAAGTGTTTGCTAGTAGGCTTAGTATTTGCTTGACTCCCAGAAGGAAATGTTCCCTTGTGGCAAGGCACCTTCTATTTTTTCAGGTGGAGTGCAGGCGCCCGCCCTGGGGCCACTAGGCCACTGCAGCAGGCTGTGTCCTGTTAGCAAACACTCTGGCCGGGGCTGTCCTGCAGTCGCCAGTTTACAGAGCCTGCTGGGCCTGTAGCCAGCAGAAAAGGGCTGGTTGTTAAGTTCACAGAAGAGCTGAGTTGAGCCAGCTAGGGAGGCTTGTTTCTAAAGCCTGGCGTTTACTGGAACCCTGTTTGGTCAAAATAGTTTCTCAGCCTAAGGACACCTGGCCAGGGTGGTAAGTCCCTCACCACGGAGTGTAGGAAAAACTCAGGAAAAAGGATGACTGATACCTAACCTGCCTGAGCCTCTCTTTTAAAGACAGTTAGGCATGGTGGTGCATGTGTGTAATCCCAGCACTCAGGAGGCTCAGGCAGGAGGATCGCTGTGAGTTTGAGGCCAGCCAGAATTATACAATGAGACTATGTCTTAAAAAAAAAAAAAAAGCAATGCAGTCTTAACTAATCTTAATAAGACTGTTGTGTTTTAATAATTTTTTCAATATTTTGGATAAAAAATATTGTCCCTCCAGCCCCAAAGGTAGTATTGAGTATTGAGTCTTTCTGTCCAGTAATCTGGCACAAGATAGATACTGCACTTCCAATTGGTACAATAAGGGTAACACTCAAATATCAGAAAATGTGTTGGAGAGTAAGGAAGTGAGCCTTTGCACACTACTGGGGAAGTGTAAAATGAGGTGGCCACTTGGAGAAGTCTGCAGTCCTCACAAGTATTAAAAGGAAGCCAGTGACCTGACTCTTCAGGTCATGCATTCTTGTTGTTGCTGTTGGCCTGGTCTTGCTATGTTGTCCAGGCTGGCTTGGACTCCTGGACTCAAGTGACCCTCGCACCTTGGCCTCTCGTTAGCTGAGATACCAGCAGGTGTCTACTTCTGACAATTAAAGCCTGTACTCCCCTACTCAGAAGGCTGCGGCAGAATTGGCTTAAATCTAGGAATCTGCGGCTAGTGTGGACAAGGTTAGAACCTACCTCAAAAAAAACTAAACAAGGGTTGCTGGTGCGGTGGCACACGCTAGTAATCCAAGCCCTTGAGAAGCTGAGGCAGGAAGATGGCTGCAAGCTTGAAGCCAGCCTGGGCTACACAATGAGATCTTGTCTCAAAAAGCAAAACAAAATTGAATTACATCTAACCAAGCTGTTAAGCATAATATCCAAATGCTAACAAAAATTCAAACTTTTTAAATTTTTAAAGTGAATTTTCAGAAAGCATGGCTTAACAGTTAAATAAAAGCTTTGGACTCATTAGAAGCAACTTTTCTGTCACTCAGTTCTAATGTGCACTAGGCAGTGTCTCCTGATGCTGACACTTTTCTGTCATCTAATTTAGTTACAGCTGCAGTGAGTTAAGGTTGCAGTTTTTACCAGAAGGAAACTCAGCTTCCAGATCCATATCGCAAGGGGTCAGATTCCCCTCCTGGTGCCTAAGTGCCTATTCCCAAATGACCAGGTCCCTCCGTTCCCCAGGAGCACAGCTCTCAACAGCGAACAGAACACGGCCACACTCAGAACCACCCCCCGACTGCACGGCAGTGCAGACAGAGACAGCGCCTAAGTGCAAGAACAGCCACGGCTGAGGAAGAGTTTCACACCTTCCACCTGTCATTCAGTTGGCCTCGGACCAACTGAAAGGGGAGAGGAGCAATGGGATCATTCTTTGGGTTGTCTTAGCTCCAGGAAACTTGCTGCACACAAGCCAAGAATCAGGCTGCCTAAAAAGGCTTTCAAATGAGGACACCATCAACACTCAGAAGCAGAGCGTTTTATTAGATTCCCAGATCACCTTTAGGGTTGCATCCATAAACAACCCCAAACAGACTCCCAGCTTGTATGCAGTTTAAGTGAGCTGGGCGATACACGCCCAGTCCCAGCACTCAGGAGGCTGAGGCAGAAAGGTCCCAGCACCGTCAAGGCCAGCCTGGGCTACACAGAGATCCTGTGTCAAGCCCCCTGCCCAATAACCAATGAGCTGATCATGTCAACCAAAACCAGATTAAAAAGCGCATTTCTGGGGGTTTAGCTCAGCGGCATAAGTGCCTGCCTTGCAAGTGTGTGGTCATGAGTTTAATTCCTGGTACCGATTAAAAAAAAAAAAAAAAAAAAAGCGCATTTCTTCTGGGTTTGGTCAGAGTATCTAACAATGTGTCAGAACCAGCATTTTGTAGGCGTGAAATTGCCAAGGTACAGATCCTTAAGTATTCACCAGCACCAGAAGGGCTGTCAGAAGAGGCTAGTAAGCTTTTATTAAGCAAACAGGGCATGGCCAGCGCCCACTTCACCTGCTCGCCCTGCCAGTGGTCTTCACAAGTGATGCAGCCGGAACTCACCTTTCGCACTTTCCCTTTGCCAAGTTTTCCAGCACAGCCTTGGAAATTATGCAACAGGGCAGGCTGAACCACATCTGTCCTGTTTCTACAGGTCAGTACCAGCAGCTCCCTGCGGAGCCAGCTAGGTGCTGCCCTAGCAAGGCCTGGGCCTCCTGCTCAGGCTGTCGGCTCCTTGCAGCTCCGCCCTTTAACCCACACGCCGTGTGTTGTGTGTTCCATGCGCAGACCCTCGTGGGGACCACAGCTCTACTATGCAGCCGCTGCATGGTGCTCCATCCTTTTCCTGCTGCTGTGCTGAGTGGCGGTCAGCGGTAAAGCCCATACCCTGGCATGCACCAGGCCTGGGGCTGATTTTCCTGCCAAAAAAGCCCCCAAACCCCAAACCAAAACACACCTGCAACAGGCTTAAATACGTCTTCCTGAGTACACGTGTGGATGATTTTAATTTTGCACCCTATTTTACTGGGCTTTCCTTTTAGGTGAATTGTGTAGCCTCTGTACTATTTTTTGTTGTTTTATTGAGAATCTTGCTATATAGTTCACTCAGCTTGAGTCACTTTTTAATGACTGATTTTCTCTAATTTATACGGCTACTTTATGTAGCTCAGATCTAATTTTTAACTAGTTATATGCATTTGTAAGATTTTTCTCCTAGTCAGTGAACTGTTGAAGAAAACAAAAATTTTTTTGAGATGAACTCAGGCTGGCCTTGAACTCACTTTGTAGCCCAGGCTGGCCTGACCTTGCAGTGATCCTCCTGCCTCAGCCTGGGATTACAGGCGTGCGTCACCATGCCCAACTTTTCTTTTAAAAAAAATTAACAATTTATCCAGAAAACTTCACATTTAAAAAAAAAAAATTGAAGGTCCAGGGATTTAGCTCAGCAGCCTAAGCCCCTGGCTGGCAAGCACAAGGTCATGAGTTTGATCCCTGGTACCAAAAATCAATAAACACTGAAACCCACATGCATATCAAAAATTATAAAAACAGAATAGGCCTCCCATGTCTTCAAACTTATTTTCCCTCAGTCCCTTATTAGTATTAGGCTTGATAAGGAATTATAAACAGTGAAGCACATTTTCCTCAAATTTAACCAATTAAAACATTTTTAAAATGCTATGGCCAGGCAGGTGTGATGGTACACAGCAACCATAACCTGGAGGCTGAGGCCAGCCCGAACCGTGCAGGAAAACCCTGTTTCAAAACAAACAAACAAAAAGGTGCCCACAAACTACCATACAAGGTAGGCCTTTCCCCTCCATGCGTACAGAGTGCTTCCCAGAAGAACGTGGCTGAGCCACAGATGGGTACATCCCACACGGACTTCACCACTGTGCACAAAGGGACACCTATGACCGACATCCAAGTCTCAGCTCAGGAGAACAGAAAACAGTATTTTATTGAGAACCTATAAAAAGGTGAAAGAAACAGAAATATCAACTGACGGGGCTGGGGATTTAGCTCAGTGGCATAAGTGCCTGCCTTGCAAGCAGGCAGTCGTGAGTTCAATCCCCGGTACCGATAAAAAGGAAAAAAAGACAAAAAAAAAAAAAAAAAAATATATATATCAACTGACAACAAAACAACTGGCTTGACTCAGAAGGTAACTACCAACCTATAACACATACCGACATTTCCAAGTTAACCGAGATGTTTATTCCATGTATAATCACTATGAAAAAGAAATCTCAGCTTAGATATTAAAGAAAAAAATTAAAAATCCATGCTGGTTGTAGAGGTACATACTTGTAATCCTAGCACCCTGGGAGGCTGAGGCCTGAGGATCATAAGTTTGAGTCCAGCCCAGGCAATTTAGCAAGATTCAGTCTCAAAACAAAAACAAAACAAAACAAGCACAAAAAAAAAAAAAAAAAAGCTGAAGAAACAATATGAAGGTCCTGGTTACATCCCCATTAGCCAACCCACCCCAAAACACTGGGCATCGTGGCATGCACTGGGAGGCTGAAGCAAGGAGGATCGCCAGGGATCTGAGGCCAGCCTCAACTGCACAGCGAGACTTTGGAAAAAAGCAAAACAAAAGGAACTGATTTGCTGTCATTGTGCTAATTTCACCAATATATAGCAAATTACTAAAACTTTAAACTTGGTAATAGTCAACAGACAACTGTGTCCCACAATTACATTTATTAAAAACTGACAAAACCTGTACAAAAAAAACTTCCCTGCTCATTTCCACACCAGTCATCTTAGGGGCGTTATCGCCTGGGGCCCCCTCGGCCTCTGCCGCGGCCACGTCCTCTTCCTCGACCTCGGCCTCGGCCTCTTCCTGCCACTGAGGGAAAAGAAAGAAACAAACCAGTGAAATTCCCCTCCGCACTAGCAATACCTCCCCCGGGACGCGTGGCCCTCCCCTCCCTTTACAGTTTTTATTTTGTGAGGCAAGGTCTCTACAGTCCAGGCTGGCCTCCAATTTGTGACCCTCCTGCCTCCGCCTTCCGTGCTGGGATCACAGGCATGCGTGTGAGCCCCCAGGCCAGGTTACAGGCTGCATCCTGAGTAAGGGACGGGGCTTAAACCCAGCAGACACGACAGCACGCTGCTGCTGCCACTCACCTGCTTCCCTCTTCTTAGATTTCACCTTGGGCTCAACATCCACGAGCAGAGTGTCGAGCGGCAGGCTGTCTGGCAGGATGAAGTAGCGAATGTTGTTTCCCCGGATGCTCAGCGTTTCCAGCTGCACCGGCTCTCTGTTCTTCAGGGTCATCTTCACAGCTTTCAGATGCGTGTTCATGCTGACATCCACGCCTGTAGGGGACAAAGCGAGCGGTGTCAGCCGAGCCCAGCGTGCATGTGTCATAAACAGACAGAGCTTCTCTGGCAGTGCTGGGCCAAAAGTGGGCCAAGTGGACCCCAGCGGCCTCCCTCATGCAGCTGGGGATGCCATGGAGGCCAGGGCCTCGGTGCCGGGTCCCACTCTGCGCACTGCATAGCAGTCCCCAGCCTCAGCTCCTTACCCACAGGCCACACCCAGCCAGGGTCAGATACACGAATTCCCTCAACTTCCCCCAAACCCACCCAGATACTTCAGCCTTATTCATTCTTTCCTCCTGTCTCCCCGCCAGAAGGTTTTCTTTCCTGAAATTAATACTCTCTCTGAAACAATCCACCTCCCATGGGCCAGGGGTACTGACAAGCTCCTTCTCTGATCCAGGGACCACATGATAAGCCGGCATGATTTACCCCAGCCCTACGGAGACGCGATTATCCCCACTGTGCCGACTGAGAATATATTCACATTTCTATCTGCTCATACGGGACATGAAACACTGGCTACCATGGTTGCAAGTGGGGAAAGAATCATCCCAGCACTCTGGAAAGCTGAGGCAGGAGAACTGCAAGTTCAAGCCTAGCCTGGGCAACCGAGTGAATCAGTAAGACCTTGTCTCCAGATTAAAAGTTTAGCGGGCTGGGGATTTATAGGTGCCTAAACACCTACCTGGCAAGCTCAAAGTTGTGAGTTTAATCCCCAGTACCAAAAAAAAAAAAAAGAAAGAAAGAAACATTAAAAACTTAGCCAAGTTTGGTGATATAGGCCTATAACCCCAATACTTGGGAGTCTGAGGCAGGAAGATCACCGCAAGTTCGAGGCCATCCTAGGTTACACAGTGACTTTAAGGTCAGCATGGACTGCACAGCAAAATCTTGTCTCAATGGGCCGGGGATTTAGCTCAGCAGTATAAGCGCCTGCCTGGCGCAAGTTCAATCCCCAGTACCAAAAAACAAAAAACATCCTGTCTCAAACAACTCAACTAAACTGACCTAGGCTGGGGATGTAGCTCAGTAAAAAGGCCCTGGTTCAACTTCCAGTACTGCAACAAAATAAAAAGGCAAGAACCACCCTCTGGCTCCTTAATATCTAAAACAGTACTCTGGAGAAAGCAGACTGAATCACTATCTAGGGATTTTATTTTATTTTTGAGAAAAGGTCTTGCTAGTAGTCCAAGTTGGTCTTGAATTTGCAGCAATCCTCCTTCCTCAGCCTCCCGAACACTGGGATTACAGGTGTGCACCACCACGCCTGGCACTACTTTGGGAATTTAACAAGACAATTACTCTTACTCAGAAATGGTCACAGACACTATCACCTCACACTGTACAGACTTCCTCAGACAGCAACTGGTATTATAAAGTTCCAGTATATCCACAGATGGTGTCATTTAATAGTTTATACGTCTCTTGATTTACTCAGATGCTGATCTACACATCAAAAATTTACTTATAAATTTACAATTTCAAGATTTTAGAAACAGGAACATCCGCTAAGATAGCATTTTCTTTCATTTAGTCTATCAGTTCTTTTGAAATTTTGCAATTTTTTTGAAACATCAACTATGAGCAATAGTAATTCCTTAGTGAGGTAAAATTAGGGTGCTCCCACCTCCCCCTCATATTTTTTACCCTACATAATCAGACATGGAAACCCTGTATTGTATCCTCAAAAATGTTACAACCTAATATGGAAGCAACATTCTAATCAAAGCACAGTGTTTCCAAGATCAGCACCCTCTACACAAGGAAGACATACAAGCAAAGGCTTAAGGCCATACGACAGTCTGCTTACAGCCCAAGTACGTGAAGGAGGCTTAAGTAAGGCCAATTAATTCAGACCCCAAAAAACAACAACAAAAAAGAACCACTACTAATGTTCATTATGGTTTTTTTTTTAAATCGGTACCGGGGATCGAACTCATGACCATATGCTTGCAAAGCAGGCGCTTATGCCGCTGAGCTAAATCTCCAGCCCTCTAATGTTCATTAAGAAACCAAAAGACTTCTGGTCTGAAGGTAGGGTTGATGAGGAAACAAAAACCCAAACAAAGCAAAAGTGTGTTATCAGAACAGCACACAACCTGCATACCTGTGATTGTTCCGTGGACCTGTGTTCCATTCTTCAATTCAATGGTGACGGTTTCATGGCTCAATTTCATCAAAAATCTATTAAAATAGGGATAGAACCATGAATTGTCACCTTTAATGCTTTGAAGTCATATTCGTTTAGTAGAAAGGGTGAAACTGCTAGATGCTAAAATCCGTTAAATGCTATCTGCACCAAGTCCTATTAATCTGTGTAACACTAAGCTTTCCCTGAAACTATACCCTCAGCGATCATAGGAGCCTCGTGTAAGCATTCCAACATAAACTGTAAGTTCCTGTTCTTCTAAGCATGGTACAGTGGAACCTCAGATGAAGACAGAGGTCCCAGGAAGAACTGCAAAAATGATTATAATTGGTCGCACAAGACGCTTACTGTCTGTGTAGAAATGAAGAACCTTCCTACCCTTCTCTCTATACGGGTATACTCTTCTAGATGTTAAGGATATACTTAAGATTTGTCTTAAATAAATTGTGTCATTAATGACTTTTATTAACTTGTGGTTCCCAGTTAGCAATTTTCCTGTCAATAGAGCTTGGTAATATTACTATATGGAAATGTCATAATTTATTATATTTCTACAGATGAACAAAAGTTTGTTTTCTTGTTTTTACTTTTACAAACCCATTTGTGCAAGCCCTCACCAACACTAGTTAATAATCCTCCACTTGACTTGGTAGAGAACAAGGGGTGATTTGCTTCCCCTAGTTACTTGTAAGACTAAGTATGTGTATTCTATGAATTACGTGTGTGCCCACATTCCAGCTAAGGTTTCCTGTGTACCTCAGACAGTCCCGCAGGCTGGCTCTGAATGTGCAGCGATCCTCCAGTCTCAGCTCCTGTGTGGTGGATTATAAGCACACGCCACTGTGTGGAAATTGATGCTCTATGGCACATACCTCACAGACCATACTAACTGGTACACAGATTGATACCCATTCACCTCCCCACCAGATGATTGGTGAGGTCAGGATGAGGACTTTCATGTGTAACCTGGACTTTAACAGCTCAGTGTTCTCACAATGAAAGGGGAGCCAGCACTGTAATGTAACATTTACCGTGGTGGCACAGACACCATCCTGATGGTAGGCGTTGCTTGGTATTGGACATAACAGACTTTTAAAAGCTTGTCTGTGCTAGCCAGAGGCAGTGATGGTTGTCTGTATAGGACGCTGAGGCAGAGTGACAAGTCTGAGGTCATCCTGGGCAGCTAAGCAAGCCTTGTGTCACAAAGCCGCCAACCAAGAGGGCTGAGGGTGTGGAATGCGTGCCGAGTGCACATGAGCCCCTGGCTCAGTCCTCAGGGCCCGGGGCTGGTGTCATCCTAACACAGACAACACAGACACCCATGTGAGAGTGCTTCTTCAAACAACAAAGACACTTTCAATCAATTGTTAGTGCTGATAAACAAGCTTCAATTCAGCTCCAAATTTAATAATAAATTGTATTAGCCCAGAATCTCAACCTACCAGTTTCTTCCTATTATTTAGTTTTGTTTTTATTCTTACTGTAATTGTCCCACTTGGTAGTAACTTTAACTATGAAAATTCCTCAAATCAGCACAGCGTACTGGTGCACACTTGTAATCCTAGCACTCTGGAAGGCCGAGGCAGGAGGACTGCAAGCTTCAGCCCAGCCTCGGGAACTATAATCTGTATCCATAATCTACTCTATCAAAAAGGAAAACCAGGGGCTGGGGATTTAGCTCAGCGGCATAAGCGCCTTGCCTTGTAAGCAGAGAGTCGTGAGTTTGATCCCTGGTACCGATAAAAAATGAAAAAGACAAAAAAAAAGGAAAACCAAAGAGAAAAAAAAGTCTCTGAAAAAACCAAGTATGTTTTATTAATTTCAGCAAGTCCAAGGGTGTCTTTTTTATTTTTTATTTTTTTGTCTTTTTCCTTTTTATCGGAACTGGGGATTGAACTCACGACTGCCTGCTTGCAAGGCAGACGCTTATGCCGCTGAGCTAAATCTCTAGCCCCCCCAAGGATGTCTTTGAGAAATCCAATATTCATCATTACCTATTATGTATGTCATAGTCCTGCTTAGTAACGAGGATTAAAAATTACCGAGCCTAGGCTTGAAAGGAGTTTATAGCTATTAAAAGACACTTAAAAGTAACTTGAACTGTAGAACATAATGGAAACATGCAAAGGTACATCAAGTAGCTCAGGAAAAATGGAGTCACCTCTTAGTGGACTGCTGTTGAAAAGTCTGAAAGTCCCATCAAATAGAGACAAGCCCTGGAGGCATATGGCTGTCATCCCTGCATTTTGAGAGTAAAGTGGGAGGACCACTTTGAGTTCAAGGTCAGCCTCACTACATAGCCAGACCCTGTCAATAAGTAAGAGAGAAACAAGAGCAAGACAGTGATAAGAACCAGCACAAGGCTGGGCTGGGGGTGTAGTGCAGTGGTAGAGCTCATGCCTAGCAAGTGTGAAGCCCTAGGTTCAATCCCAGTCCCCCCCCCCCCCCACAGCAAAACACATGGTACAAGAGTAACTTTAGGTACTACTGATAGAATATTAAATTTAAAAAACGTAGACACACAGGATGCTCTCATGTGACCACTTGGGAGGGTGCGGCAGGAGGATCACTGCAAGTTCTAGGCCAGCCTGGATTACATATTGAGTTCAAGACCAACATTAACTACGTAATGCAGTGCTAGCGTCACATTTATATTCTAAAGAGAACTGAGGACAGATATTCGAAAAAATTAATTTCATTTTTTGTTGGCGTTTCTTCCTGGCATCAAGGACTGAACTCGGCATTTATGCTGAACCGTATCCCGAACCTTTTCTGAATCAGGGTCTCCCTAAACTGCCTAGGCTGGACTTGAACTTGTGATCTACCTAAACTCCCAAGAAGGCTGAGATTACAGGCATGGGCTATTACACCCAACTGAAATCAATTTGAAATGATAAATACACACTCTCTAGGAAAACAAACTAGGCAGCTACAGCAGTACAAGGTTAAAACCACAGTAATCAGTAACAAAGAGCAGAGACTGATAAAAATAGTACTAAGTGCTTGGAAATAAGCCACAATGACAGGATGGGTTTTCTGTAAAGGTACCAATGCAGTCAAGGCAAGGGTGAAATTTTTCAACAACTGAGGGTTGTTTCAATGGAACTCTATATAGAAAAACAAACCTAGATCCCTATCTCAAAATAAATCATGACAGACCACAATCACACCTTAAAAGTTAAAAAGCACCAAAAAGAAACAGAGAAGTATCTTCATAGGTTGAGGGCAGATAGAGATTTCTTTGACCAGAACTATAAAAGAAAAGCTGATAGATTTAAGATTTCTTCAAAATAAAACTGTGCTCAGTAACAAACATTATTAAGAAACAGGCAATCTAGCTGGCTCTGGTGTTGCAAGCCTGTAGTCCCAGCACTTTGGGAGGCTGAGACAGGACTGTGGAACTACACAGTAAAACCCTGTCTCCAAAAACAGAAAGCATCAAGCAATCTGTAAAATGGAGAAAGTGTGTATGTCAAAGGACCAGCATGGAGGATATATACAGTTCCTACTTGATAACAAAACACAAAACAGTCAAAATAAGGAACAGATTGTAACACTTCACCTAAAAAGACGCATGAGAATGACAAGTGAACAGGTAAGACAGTGCTCAACATGATCAGTTATTAGGAAAATGCAAATTAAAGCCCAAGAAACACCACTTTATAGACCCACTAAAATTAGAAAGACAAGTGCTAGAAAGCATGCAGGTAAGTGGGAATTCTGATATATACATATATAAACTTTTTATTTATGACTTATTTTTTACTCTGCTTTCTGACTCTACTTGTGTCTCAAACCCTTTCACAATTTTCTGCTCAGTAAGGAAAGCACTCCTGTCATAAGCACATGAGCGCACACAGAACCACGGCACAGTGCTGACAAGCTCCTTCATTTCAGAGAATCTCTTGAGGACTTTGGGTCTCACAGCATTTGCCCACGCAGTCTGGCTGGATACACCGCAGGCAGATTCCGGTGTTTTCCCAACTCTGGTATCAAGGTGAACAATTCTATTTCCTGGGGTTGAGGACAGCCTAGTTTTGTTAGAGACTGTACTGAAAGAAAGCCTAGCATGCTATGTCAAGTGCTGGGCCACCCTGAAACCTCCTACACCACCCCCGGAAGAGGAATACTGCAATACTGTGTTAGTAAAAGTATAAAATACTACATGCATCTGTTTTGGAGAATGGTCAGGGGATCTCTCATTTAAATCTGTGATTCATGCAGGGCAAGCATGAGATCGTGAGTTCAATCCCTGGTACCAAATAAATATGTGATCCAGCAACTCCACTCCTAAAAAATCTGATTTTGGTGTTTTTTCCTTTTGTTTTGTGACAGGGTCTTGCCTTGGATTCTCAGTGTTCCTTGTGCCTCAGCCTTCAAAGTGCTGAGATTACCACGTACAACACCACATGTAGCTATAACCTTATCTCCGAAAAAGATTTGCACAAGAATGTTGAAGTATTTTTAAATAAAATACATAAGGGAGGGGGGACAGCAAATTACTGCTTATTTCCCACAAGGTAGAACCTTGAAAAACATGCTAAGTAAAGGAAATTTTACAGAAAACAAAAGAGTACATGCTGCATGGTTCTGAACATATGAAATTCCAGTGAGGCAAAAAGTAATCTATGGCGAAACAAACTGGTTGCCCAGGGAGGCATGAAAACAGACTAGAAAGGGCTGGAGGAAATTTTCTAAGGTTTTGGTAATACTGTATTACATATTTTGATGGGGTTCGGGTTATACACACCTATATACTTTTCAGTGCTGGAAAATGTATACTTCATTGTATGTAAAATATTTGCCTCAAAAGGGGAAATAATAAACCAGGAGTGTATTGGAAGGGAAGAGGCCACACTTCAGTGGCAAGTGGAATGAAAGGGAGGTATTGTGGTCAGGAAAAAGTTATCTCCTCAGCCAAGGAACCAGATAGATTCAGATGACTTTCTGATGAGTCGTTCATCATCTGAATTCTAATCATTCAAACGTAGATACTCTTCAGGTAACAGTGTCCTCCAGTATTCAAATTCACAGTATTTGAACACAACAACCAAAGAGAACTGACTAGTGAGCTTTTTATTAGGTAACAGTAGCAAAACTGGCTATCAGATGCTAGGAAGTTTGAGAGAAAAAAAGCCAAGCTCACTTCCCATGTTTCCAACCAAAACAGGAAAGCTAGCTGAAAAATGGAGCAGTTAGGCAAAATACTTTCATTTCCATTCAAAATACTTTCTCTTCTGCAAGACCTTGCTTTTACAGAATACCAAAGATGCAAAATGAGTCAGTATAGCCATTAAAATTTGCAGATCATTTGTCATAACAAAATCTTTCAGTGAGAAAAATGGAATCAAAGCATATTGGATAAATTAGCTGTAAAGTGGGGGTGGTGACACAAGCCTACAATCAATCTAAGCATTGTAGAAATCTGAATCAGGAAAATTGATAGTTCGAGCCCAGCATGGGCAATTAAGCAACTTAGGTAGACTTTTGTCAAAAAATTACAAAGTTGTGGTGGCACACGTCTGTGATCCCAGCACTCTGGAGGCTGAGGCAGGAGGATCACTTCGAGTTCGAGATCAGCCTGTACTAGAAAGTGAACTCAAGGTCTTGTCCGAACTGCATACTGAGCTCCTGTCTTTAAAGAAACATTAAAAAGGGCTGGAAATACAATTCAGGGAAGCCCCTCGAGCTCAATGGGGGGGGAGCACACTCAGGAACAAACTGAGGTTGGGGCTGGAATGTGAGCTACTTGTGATTACAGAAATCAACTGACTAGCCTGCCAAGCATGCTGAAGCGGGTTCGATTGCCAGCACAAGTACAAAAATCCTAAACGCTAAGGTTGAAAATCTTCCCATACAGCCCCCCTGAATACAGTACCTAGATTTTTATATTCCATTTCAATCATACTAGAGAGGTTATCTACATATTCAGCATGTAACAGGCAGGGACTCTGTCTTTTAAAACGTGCTGTTATTACCTGTGTATAGCACAACCGGTGCCCAATAACTAGCTCACAGTGACAATCTGTGTGACCCAACGGAAAGAAACTAGCTAAATTCCTCTCACCGCTGGCTTAGTTATCACCCTCACTCCCCAAGTTCCAGCCTCAGATCTGGGGAAAACACTGAAATCAAATCTATTTACAGACAGTTCATAATGAATTAATCCCTTGAACTAGTTTTTAATAGATGCAACTAACTCACATAATCACAGAATGAAGTAAAACAGGAGATAAAGTTATCATCCGTGCAATTAACAGCAATTAAAGCGATGACTTCTGTCCTACACTGGGAGATTTTCACAAAATCAAAAGCCAGCCTTGACGGGAAATGTAGGTGAAATAATCATGCCTAGCAAGTACCAAAAAAAGAAGCTACGAACTCGTGGATTAGTTCCTCTCGAACTCTAAACATTTTGCAAACAGGTTTCATCGTTTCTAAGTTTTCCAGCGCGACTACAGCTGCGCTCAATAAGGACCGTGGACCGACCGAAAGCGGGATTCAATGTCGGGCGCTGCATCTTGAGGGCCTTTCGCAGCAAGGTGGGAAGCAATAGTGAAGCCTTCACCTCCACCTCTACCCGCTGGACAGGCCGCGAGGCTGGGACGCGACCCAGTCCGGAACTCGGGCTCCGGACCACGGAGCGCCACCACAACGGGCGCGGGAGCGGCGGGCGCCGGGGCCGTTAGCAGGCCGCAGCACGCGGCTTTCCCGCCTCCCGCACCCAAAGGGGCCCAGCCCGGGCCAAACCTTCCCTTCCCTGCCTCCAGTCCGCCAGGTCACCTACGCACCTTACAAGCTTCATCTTAACAGCGCCGTCAACCTTTCAACCTGATAGCGCACAAAAAACAAGGAGCAGGACCCAGCGGCCCGGAGTATGAATGGCCGGAAGCGCCAGTTTCAGGGGCTCCCGACGTATAGGGCGCGCACCGCCGAGGGACGCACCGCGGAAACGCCGCTCTCCTTCCGGCCGCGAGGGGCTCCACGGCGGCCCCTAGTGACCGGAGGAGCGAATTGAAGCTGCTGGGGGCGCCGGGGATGGGCTTGAATCGTTTTATTCTGGGTTGTTTGATTTTATTATCTGTGATGGTATGAACAGCTATTTTTTTTTTTTTGTCTTTTTCCTTTTTATCGGTACCGGGAATCGAACTCACGACTGCCTGCTTGCAAGGCAGGCGTTTATGCCGCTGAGCTAAATCCCCAGCATGAACAGCTATTTTGAAGAAAATTTAATATAATTTTGTTTTAAAGTCCTACCATGCTTTTGTTCTTCTTTCTCCATTGGTTTTATCATATTGTATCTTATTGGATTTTATTATGTGTGATAGTATAAACAAAATTTTTTATGGACAAGGAGATAATATAGTAAGCATTGTTCATTTTCTGTTAGTTGGTTCTGAATGCCCTGTAATACTTTCATTCTCTTGAATGGTTTTATACTATTTTGTTACGTTTGATACTATAGTGTATGAAGGTATACTCAATATTTCAAGGAAAGAGACACTATGGTAGTTACTATTATGTCTGTCGGGTGTTCTTGTGGTGAAACACTATGTTGCTTAAATTGTTTTGATCTGTTTTGTGTATCTGTTATCTTAATCTTTTTAAAATTAAAAAAAGAAAGATATTTGAAGATTTAAATCTGATTGGTTGCTTTTGATCTGATCAAAGACAGCCTCTCTCTCACAGGAGACCAAAAGAGTATTCCAATTGTGTACCAACATCAGCAGGAACCTTAGCATTACTTAATGCACCTGAATAAAATCACAAGGTTCTGCTGATTATTTTCACTTTGAGTTCTCAACTCCCAACAAACTTTTAGCTGGGAATATTGCACAGTAGCACAAGCCCCTGTCTGGCAAGGGCAAGGTCTTGAGTTCAATTCCAGGTAACCCCCCCCAAAAAAAAAAAGGAAAACAAACTTTTTATGCCTTCACCTTTTTCAACATGGCAGCAACGTTTAATTCAAACACTCCCCTTCAGACACCTGATTGTTTTGGCCCAAGGATGCTAAACGCACCCGCATTTCCTCTCTTCCAGATAACTCTTTGCCAGCTGTTCCTTGCTAGCTCATCCTGGGGGGGGGGGAGGCTTACAGCCTGGGGTACTTGGGAATTACTGCTGTAGCTCCTTATGGGTTTTTTCCTCTGGTAGCTTAGGAGCTCTCAAAAACTATGACTTTCATTTGTGTCTGTTAATGTGGACTTCATCCCAGATCACCTGAACTTTTTCTAGGTGGCAGATATTAGGCATGAAACCAGGGCATTCACATTGAGTTAGCTCCCCAGCTATTTATTTATACATTTTGAGATAGGATTTCACTGAATTCCCCAGGGTGGGGGTGGGTCCAACTCCGGGACCCTCCTGCCTCAGCTTCCTAGAGTGCTAGGATGGCATGCTTACATCACCAGGCTAGGCTTCACCAGAACTTCTGTATGTTGCAACTCAATGCTCATTAAAGTTTAATGTGCATAGGACTCACCTGAGAAAACTAAAATGAGAGTTTTGACTCAGTTGTTGTGTGGCCTGAAATTTTGCTTTTTTAGGGGAGTCTCTCCCCAGCACTGTGGGTTAAATCCAGGAGCATTCTACCACTGAGTTACCTCCTAGCCTTTTCTTTTCAGACACTGTGTTGCTAACCTGCTCAGTGTGGCCCCAGATTTGGGATCCTCCTCCCTCCCCACCCGACCCACAGGTAGGTAGGATTACAAGTGTGTGTAGCCACACCCAGAATGCTCTACATTTTAAATGTCTTCCATTGATGCAAATGTCCCTGTGCACCATGATTTCAGCAGCAGGGCTGTAAAGGGCTATAAAGTGTACTGATGGTTTGCCTTCTCAACACCTGTGCTCCTCTTTTGGATGTAAATAAAGGGGGTGGTTGTCCTCAGAGCTATTGGGAACTTCCTTAGAAATTTAGGAAAACCAGTTTCAGGACTAAGAGACGTTTTGTTTTGTTTTTGTTAGGTAGCTCAGGATGGCCTCAATTTTCAGTTCTCCTGCCTCAGCCTCCCTAGTGCTGGTACTGTGTGCTACCACACCCAGCAATGGACTGAGTTTTAAATAAACCAAACCCATGATATTAATCAAGAAATCCTAGATGAGGGGCTGGGGATTTAGCTCAGCAGCATAAGTGCCTGCCTTGCAAGCAGGCAGTCGTGAGTTTGATCCCTGGTACCGATAAAAATGAGAAAGACAAAAAAAAGAAATCCTAGATGTAAAAGAAAAAGTGCTTGGATGTACCTACTTAATAAAAAGTTAATAAGTGAAATTAATAAGTAAAGATATAAACTGGGTGTGGTATGGCTGGGTATGGTGGTGCATGCCTGTAATCCCAGCACTCAGGAGACTGAGGCAGGAGGATTGTTGCAGATTTGAGATCAGTCCGGCCTACATAGTGAGCTCAAGGCCAGCCTGAACTGTACGGTGAGACTCTGTCTCAAAAAGACAACCTCTTCCAAAAAACCTGTTTGAGCCAGTTGAGGTTGAGGCTGAGTACTGAGTTTTGCCGTAGAATAAACTACAGGACATTATGGTGGTGGAAGGCCAAATCAGGGATGTTTACCCTGAGGTCACTTCCTCCTTCTCCTATTACAACTTTCGTTTTTCTTTCCCAGTACACACACACAAAAATTCCAATTAGCTTCTCATATGTCATCAATGCCTATCCTAAGCACCACTCCTGGTTAAAGGTTACATATGTCCCATACCCCATATTCTGGTCAAAGGAGACAGCCCAGCCACCATGAATTATATGCTCTTTCCCATGTCCTCAACTCAATAAATCTATTTATTTTGTAGTTTTTCTTCTCTATTGCACCAAAATAGTCTACAAGTACATGTGCAGGGCTGTGGCATGGCCTGGGCATGACTGAACTGAGGAGACAAGCATCATCTGTGGCGCTGAAGGGTCCTTAAGCCCCTTCCAAGATCCTGCTCAGGTTTTCTCCGTTGTCCACTCAGCTCCTTGCTTGTTTGGATTAGATATGGGCTGCCTAGCATCAGTTGGCCAGCCAGCTAGGAGAGCTACGAACTCTGCCGAGGATTTCAGTCCTCCTGCAGCCCTAAAGACCATGCCACCTGTCTCATTTCTTTGAGCCTTTACTGTGTACCCATTTGGGGGCTGGGGGAATAGGCACAACCCCCTCAACCCCCCCAAAACTGGATGTGGTGACACATGCCTGAAATCCCAGCATAGGGAGGCTGATGCAGGAGGATTGCCTGGGCTGCATAGTTCAAGGCCAGCCTGAACAACACAGTGAGACTCTGTCTCAAAAACTGTTAAAAATTCAGTTCCTCTGTTGCAATAACATTTCCAGTATTCAACCACCAAATGTGGCTCTACCACAGGGCAGCCAAAATGTTTCCATACTCACAGAAAGCTTGACTGTATAGTGCTATTCTATTACCACCTTTGATTTGTTGGCATTAAATCCTTGCTTACTGAATGATTGTGTGAAACAAGAAAGTAAATGTCTAAAAGCAGTCCCCTGCAGCCACCCAGCATCAAAAATGTCAGCATATTCCCCGGGTGCCAAGCACTGGTGGTAAGCTCCATGGCTACTGTAATACTGCTGTCTTTTCACAGTGTGCTGGAAACTGGGGAACCCCAATCAGGGCTCTTCAGAGGCAAGGATGGCGGTGATGACTCAAGGCTGCTGTCACGTTAAGTTGAACCCATGCAGCTCTGCTGGAGCTGTAAAGTGGCTGATGCTTTCCCACTGGAGTGGGAGTTCCACGGGAAAGCAGAGCTTGTGTGTTTCCGGCAGTCTCCAGGCCTGTGTGCACGGTAGTACCCCTATTATCTCCAAATGCCTTCCCCAGTTTCGCTATGCCTACTTTTTTTTTTTTGAGACAGAGTCTCACTATGCAGTTCAGGCTGGCCTGAGCTCAATTTGTAGCTCACAACGATCCTTTTCTTTCTTTTTTGGAACAATAAACTTTTTTTTTGGTACCAGAAATCGAACTTAGGACCTTGAGCTTGTGCCGCTGAGCTATATCCCCAGCCCTTCTTTCGTTTTTGGTACTAGGAACTGAATCTAGGTCTTTCTGAGCTACATTCCTATTCTTTTTCATATTTATTTTTTATTATTTTGTCTTTTTCCTTTTTATCGGTACCAGGGATCGAACGTCACGACTGCCTGCTTGCAAGGCAGGTGCTTATGCCGCTGAGCTAAATCCCCAGCCCCCATATTTTTTATTTTAAGGCAGGGTCTAACTCAGGCTAGGCTGCAATTTACAATCCTCCCTGCTTCCATCTCTCAGAGCGCTGAGATTACAGGCCTGCGCCACCATGGCTGGCTTCTGCCCACCTCTTAATCTGACCTTTCTCCCTCAAGTGTATAGGAATACTTGAGTTCTTGCAAGTCATCAAGCTGACTTTTTTTTTTTTTTTTTTTTAAGACTAGTCAAGTGCAGTAGTGAGAAGGGGGGAAAGAGTAGAACAAGGAGTTCAATCTGTACTGACTGTGAACAATCAATTGAGATAACTCACTACCTTCCGACCAACCCAAGTTGACTCTTCTTGCGGATGTCTGCCCACACAATTCTTTAATCTAGCTAACAACTACTCATTCTCAAGCGTGCAGGGCCAATTCAATTACTCGAACATGTTAATGAGGACTCTCCCAGGTGGTGAACAGAAATGCCATTGTCAGTTGATTTCTAACAAATCGCTATAATTTTTCCCAGTCTTTATTTTCCAGCTTGATTTTTTAAAAAAAAGATTTTATTCTCACAGTATGAAACGGTAGATTCCCAAAGGATGGAGCAACCAAATAAAGGCCCTTATTTGTTGCTAGCAAGAGTGTTGCAGGCAGCAGAGTTAGAAATATTATAGACATGGGCTGGGGATTTAGCTCAGTGGCATAAGTGCCTGCCTGGCAAGCATGAGGTCATGAGTTGGATCCCCAGTACTGCAAAAAAAAAAAAAAGAAAAAAGAAAAAAAAAGTATTTGGCAGAATCCTTA